GAATTATGGAACTGAAAGTGAAAGTAGTCAAACTGAATTTTTAATAAACCAAAATACAGTTTCAAAGTAAATTAATTCAGATACAAAACTTTAAATTCTGTTTCAAATCATTGAATTTAACAAACTGAATTTATTTTCAAACCAATGCATTCAATTTCAAATTTTGCACATTCAGATTCAATCTGAGCAATTCAGATCCAGTTCCTGCTGGCACAAGATTTATCCCATACAAAATGACCAAAAATATATTGGTGTCTTGCCCAAGGACACTTCGACATGTGCTTAAACAACGGGAATTGAACCACAAACTCACCAGAAGACAGTTAATGTTAGACATAACTACCTGTCAGAACTCATTTTTATTTGTACACGCTCTGTGTTTAATTTGTATTTTATCTGTATATCCTATAAAAACTGTCATCTGTAAAACCATGACGTCATTCTGTAAACCATGAGAATTAATCAACTGATTTTATTTATTATTTCCTTGTTTTCTTTCTTACCATACTAGGAAATGCATTAAGTGAGATATATCCAGTAAACAGGCATTTTTTTGTTTATTTTCTAAGTTAAATGGTAAGTCACGTGATCTGATGCTGGTGAGCTGCTATAAGAGCCTGTGGCCGCTAGATGGAGACAGAGCTGTAAATTAAAACAACTCTAAAACAACTTTACCATAATTGGGTCAATCAGACAGGAATGTAGCAGAAAGTTTTATTTAAACATGTTATTTGATACCTGCTGCTGTTTCAGTCAAGACAAAGTAAAAACACATCTGAAACTGTTACAGGTTAGCTCAGACACTGTAAATCACTGATTAAAATCAAGCTTTAATCATATTTTCTTCTGATCTTCCTGCAGTCTCTGGGTACTGTCCAGAAAATACATGTTTGTGAGTGCGTTTATGTTTTTAATCATGCAGGGTCATCAAAGATCAGAATTAAACAACAAATTGGACAAAACATTAATTTATTTTCTTTACCTGCTTGACACAGTTCCAGTCTGTAGAGACACTATCCTGCACGTCTGAGGTGTTTCCCTGCTCCAACACACCTTCTTCTTCTTCTTCTTCTTGTGGTGTTTCATTGCAGTTGGCAATAAACTGAAGGTGTGCATTACTGCCACCTATCCCAACACACCTGTCTGAGTGCTGGAGGGACCTCTTGATTGGCTAATCACCCCTCACTCAGTTCAGGTGTCGAAGCAGAGAAACATAAAATATGTTGGAGCTGAATGATGAATGAAATGTGTTCAGAGCCGCAAAACAAGCTACAACTGTGATTATAAACTGCTGGTCCGTGGGCCTTTTCAGGAACCTTTACAGCAGAGCTGTAAAGTAACTAAGTACAAATACTTCTTTACCATACTTAAGTAGAATTTTTGGGTATCTGTACTTTACTTGAGTAATTTTTTTCAGCCTAATTTTACTTCTACTTAAGTAATTTTTTGGTAAGATACTTGTACATTTACTCAAGTATCACTTTGTGGTACTTTATACAACACTGCTTCACAGTCAGTGGAGGTGACATTATGAAACTAAAATAACTATTGTTATTATTATATTATTTAATATTATACACATCAGGACAAATAAAAATACCACATTTATCTAAACAAGAAAAATACTGTTAGTGAATATAGTTTATCCCGAATTTCATAAAAACTGAATTATTCAGACCTTTTTTCTAATTCTTATTATGTAGTCTTCAAATTATTTAAAGGTAATTCTGATGGATCTGAGAGAAAGATCATATTGAAATTGTAATATTAAACAACAGGCTAGCAGCTAACATGTTCCACCTTTTTTTAGCAGTATTGATTAGATATTTGCAAACAAATTGATTTGTTTTGTGGGTATAAAAACAAAAAAGATAAAAATTTCTGTTATGTTSGGTCACATTTTCATAGAGCCTCTGCAGAGGGACCAAAGAGCCACATGTGGCCCCAGAGCCGCAGGTTGCAGACCCCTGGTCTAAAATGACAGCTAGCTTTGTGCCACTTTTAGATGTTGCCACTGTTTGTTCATAGCTAGCCTACTATAGCATTTTTACTACTTTTGGCCATTGGCTAGGCTTTGCTACATTTAGGTTCTCATTAGACTTTGCTACTTCTAGTTTCTAGTTAGCCTTTTGGCTTTTAGCTACCATTCTGCTACATTTAATTCTAGCTACTTTTGTTGCCTCTGTTTTGAAAGTTTTTCTGGCCTTTTGCCACTTTTAGCTGTCATTTTACTACTTTTGTCTTTCAGTTAGGCTTTGCAACTTTTAGCTTCTAGTTAGCTTTTTGCTACTTTTGACTTTTAGATACCATTCTTATACTTTYTAAATTCTAACTGGACTTTTGTTTAGCCACTTTAACAAGTCTTTTGTCACTTTTAGTTAGCCTTTTGCCACTAGCATTTAGCAACTGTTTGATATTTTCAGCTTTTTGCTGCCTTTAGTCTGTGGATACTCTCACAGCCTTGTATCCTTTCAGAGATTCTTAACCTGTGGGCCACAGCGCCACCTTCAGGGCCTCAAAAGAACAACAGTTTTTAACTTTGGGCCTCAGAGG